TTTTAGTTTGCATTTTCTCAAATGTTCTGAAAAACTGCTAACTGTGCATGAAAAGTTGGAGACAGACATTCCTTTATACACAATTATGTTTATATATTGCTTCATTTTCTGCACATTAAGACTATATAAATTCTCAAAGCATGCTCAGCTCTTCCAGCTATATATGAACAATCAATCACCACCCCAAAGGATTTGCTACCTTAACTCCTAATTTTGCAAATGTTTACACACATACACAATGTACTTAACTTGATTGCAACAAAACTACGGGTAGGACATCTCTTATCCGGCAACACAGGGAATTTGCCAGACTAGAGAAGGTTCGCTGCCACAGCCCCCAACTGCTGACTCTGCCAGCCCTGGGGGTAGCGGGGCGGACTACCTCTAGCCCCTGCCAAGCTGCCTGTTGGGAGCTAGCCCAGTTGCTGCTGCCCCAGCCAGACGGCCACGAGCTGCTGCAGGTTGGCTCTGGCCATGGTCATACTGCTGAGGGCTCAGGTTCCAATCCCAGCCCTACAGCAGCCTGCAGGCTCTAGCACTACTTCTGCAAGCTGTCCAGAGCTCCGGCCCTATGCTGCCGTGTGTTGCTGGACTGCCACCAGCCCCGGTCCAGCTGCTCCTGCGAGCTGACAAGAGTGCAACTCCATGGCAGCCTGCAGGCTCTGACCCCATTTCTGTGGGCTGCCAAAGGCTCTGGACCCAGCTCCGTGCTGCCACAAGCTATTGCCAGCCTATACTGTGCTGCTGGGGGCTACCCCAACCCCGCACCGAGTGCCACAGGCTGTCAGGAGTTGCTGGGGGATGCTGCCAGCTCCAGCCCCTGCTCCATCTTGCTGCTTCAGTCCTGCCCTTCCTGGATTTTTCTCCTGCCACTAGGCTACCGGAGTTCTCTGATCAAGGAACATCTGTGGCCTAGCAGAGAATTCCAGTTTTGAGAGATGCAACCTGTACTCATATGCACAAAAGCAAGCATATAGAATAGTGATAGAAATGTAGCCATGTTAGTTTGGTGTAGCTGAAACAAAACACAGGACTATGTAGCACTTTAAAGACTAACAAGATGGTTTAATAGGTGATGAGCTTTCGTGGGCCAGACCCACTTCCTTGGCCGCCTCTCCCCAGTGGCTGAGCTGCACAGAGGCCAGCCTGGTCCCTCGGCCTCTGCAAGGAGGGATCTGCCTGCACCTCAGCCTGGAATTCAGCCGCTGGGTCAGGGATCGGGACCCGCTCCCCACCTTTGCCTAGGTCCGGAGTCCCAGCTTGGCTGGACCCCTTGTCCACCGGGATGGGACCCTGAGCCCCCTGCAGAGAGTCCTTCCCTGGATCCAGGTTTCCAGCCCCTCGATCTGAGGAAGTGGGTCTGGCCCACAAAAGCTCATCACCTATTAAACCATCTTGTTAGTCTTTAAAGTGCTACATAGTCCTGTTTTTTGTAAAAGTAAGCATGTGTGTTAAGTGGTTTCTAGTCCAAGTCCTAAAAGACAAGATAAAGGAATGGAGAAAAAGAATACATACAAGGGAAATGATCAGAGCAATTAGAAAAACAGAATTAAAAAGTTATTTATTAATTACTAAGATAGTGGAAATGGAGAGAGGGGGAATAGCAGGAAGAGGAATGCTTACTGGAATATGGTTGAATAAAGAAGAGGAAAGCTGAACAGGAGAATCAAGAGTTGGAAAATTGAGGATACTAGAGATATTTGGAAGAAAAAAGTTGCCAAAGAATTAATCTACTTTTTCTGAAACAAAAATGAGTGCTTTATAATATCACAACCAATTGCCACAACAATGGATGTGAATTTTTTGTTACTTCAAGTGAGGAGTAGCAGAAACAGATAAACATTTTAGAAACCAACCTTCAGAAATGTCTGTAGTTTTCTAGAACTCAAAGAGCGCAATACAGAGAAGGTTTAATAACAGTAGTAGTTTCACAAAGTTTCCAAGATGCTCTCATTCATTTTTATTCTTTCTGTCCCTCCCACACCAAACATCAAAATATATACTTAAAAATTTTTTTCCTCAGAGCAAGATACTTCCTGCTGTCAATTGAGAAGGTTACTTTTATTACATACATTCCTTTCTGATAGAACCAAAAAAAGTTCTGAAGAAAAAAAATCAAAGTGAGTTTTTCCCAGATGTCTTAAGCCTTTAAATATTTTTACAATGGCTAAAAATGTTCAAAAAACTTGCAGTAAGAAGAGATGTGCAAATGCAAAATGGAATGAATTTACCATGTCATATAAATCATTAAACAGACAACGGTAACTAAAAGTAATACATAAATCTAATTTACAGGACACCCCATAAATGCATCCACCTCATGTCTGGATGAAGAGACACTCAGACAAAGCTGAGAAAACTAGCTCAGAGTGACGGCTGCTTTTTTTTGCTACTGAAGTATAATAGTAAGATGATGATGATGGACGGTGCCAATGTAGAGGCAGATGTGCTCCTCTCAGCAGAAGGAATTAACTTAAGGAACTGGGCAGTTCACCATGTACTCCTTTAGCTTCTCCAGTGGTTCATCGATTTGACTACTAAACAGATTCTCACCTTCAAAGGGAAAGTCCTCTATTCTAAACCTGTGACATTAGGAAGAGAAGATGATCTTAAAATCACCATGTCTTCTTAATGTAATAGCAGAGGCTGTTGTTTTAATCCGAGTGCGTGAGGCATAATATGATATTCTGAAAGAGTGCTTACCAAGTTTTTTACCTCACATCCTTTACTTCTGTCCACACACCCCTCAGAGCCAGAAGAAAGGCCACAGTTCCAGCAAGAAAGGAGGGGAGAAGGGGGGCACAGAGAGGTAAGAGGGCTGGCAGCCAGTCTCCTGGATGCAGGGGCACTAGAATATTTTTAATAGTGGGAGTGTTGGAAGCTAGCTTCCTTACTCCTATCTGATCTCCCCCTCCCAAATTGGGGCATTGATCAGGGCCACAGATAGGGGCAGGCTTGGGGCCAGGAGCAGAGACCCCAGCAACCTTTTGTCCTAAAATAGCCAATCTTTACTCTCCTGGACAAATAGCACATTCTATGTTATCTGTTGACAGTCACTGCAATTATTAACAAGTTGGAATGCATGAGGTGAAATTAAGAACAATTCTTTATATAACTTAGCCCATTTTTTAAAAAAGTTGATAACAAGAAGCTAGAGTAGACCAAACAGATTTGGCCACTATAGCAGCCCAACCAATATAAAGAAATTCTGGTGTGTAAAGGGGCTCTCAAAAATGTCAAAAACTTGAGGGAACAATTCTTTCATTGCTACAAAAGGTAGTTTTAGATTTATCATCAATCCTATGCACCACTTCACAAAACTGTAGAGCATCTTCAGCAGAAAACACAGCAAAAGTGATAGCCACATTCTCTCCAGGAGAAAAGTCCAGCTCTGTTTCTAGTTGCTGTTAGTCCATCAATGGAGCTAACTTTTTTTCCCTCTTTAGATATCCTTCCCTCAAGTGAGAAGACAAATCCAGAAAGCTTGAATCTATTATACATATCCTTTCTTGAGCTTAAGCAGGAGACTGGTTCATATGCCAATTATAGGTGGGAGACCTGATGGATACCAACAGAACCATGCAAGGAGCCCATTCTTGTCAGTCTAAACTTCCATTTTGTAAACAAGGGGTAAGGAGGATTAAAGGTTCAATATCCAGGTGTATATATTGCTCCTACAGAATGAAACATAGGGAATGTGTCAGTTGTTTACTTCTCTTGCAAATGTGGATCTAACTTCAGATCATTAGCTATGATTACAGAACTACAAGAACTAGGCGATGATGTGTAGTAAATAATGATCATTTTCCTCAAGAATCCAAGGGACTTGGAGGCAGTAGAGAAGATTTTGGAGAGAAAGGGAGGTTACTCACCTCGATAGTAACTGACATTCTTCTAGATGAGTGTCCCTGTGGGTGCTCCACATTAGGTCGGTACACCGCCGCTGAGCCTCAGAGTGGAGATTTCATAGCAGTGTCCCTGGGACCACACAGTCATGCACCAGCAGTCGCATGCTGTTAGGCTGCAGGCATCGCACATGCGCAAGCCCGCCCTCCACTCCTCAGTCACTTCTCTACCCCGAAACCGTGGCTTGAGAAGGCCAGGATCCGAAAGTAGAGGGGAGGAAGGGAGGGTTGTGGAGCACACGGGGACACTCATCTTGAAGAATGTCAGTTACTATCGAAGTGAATAACCTCCTCTTCAAGAGAGAAATGTCCCTGTGGATACTCCACATTAGGTGACTGTAAGGGACTCCCCTTGTCCCCGAGTGCTCCCCTCCCAGTTTTCCTTCAACAAACCCACTTAGTCTGGTTAGTGTCTATAAGTTTATTACCCTTAGGTCTTGCTATTGATGTGCCGGGGTGAACTATTCCCCGCCCGGATTAACGCCGACTGGTATGACGGCCCACTGGGGGGGGAAGGGGGTTCAGGCCCACCCTCGCTCTGAACCCCGACCCAGGGCCCTAAGTCCGGCCTAGCGGAGGGGGTCGGAAAACCCCTAAACTCCCCCGCTCTCGGGGTCCACTCCCCCGCCCTGGGCCACTTCTTCCCCCCTGTGTTTCCTACCGGGGGTCAGAGGACCCCGGGGTTATGCCTCACCCCAAGGCCTCCTCCGTTTCCCGCACCCCCAGGAGTCCTCCCTTTCTCCTGGCCCAGCCTCTTCTTTTAAACCTCCCTCCCTGATGGCGTTCCCCCTGACGCC